AAAAATGTACACGCCGAGTCACAGTAACATCCTCCTTGACTTCCCGAGGAGTAGCAGCGATTAACGCAGGTTGCTGAAAGGAGTGTGTCATTGGTTCATTTTATGTAATTAACTGAATACGAAAACTTCATCAATAACTATAATGGCCCACATTGGTACTTTTATAGTAGCTCGGACTATTTAATCCCCGATTTACTTTGAGAAAGCAACATACCAAAGCAGATTTCATCACAGTTCAGATTTTACTACATTTCAATTCAAGCCATTTTGTAGTAAACTGAAGGTAACTTTTTGTAACAGTCATTTTGAATATCAAAACCCCCATATCTTTTTTCCATGGTGAACGCGCAAAGCGAAACACTATAAAACCCCAACAACAGTTGTATATATTAGTACTTACCTTCACCAGAGTCATCTGGAGCTGAATGGACACAATACATATTGTAATCAGGACAGCAGTCGCCGTAATTAGTGCACACGGAATCACAATAGCAGCCTCCTTGACTGCCGTCAGTATAGCATCTAAACTGACAGGAAGCTTAGCGGAAAAGAACCGTAAAACATTCAAACTAAACATTTCAAATTCCGAAGGTATTAATTGAAACAAATATTTATAGGCTACGTGGATGCTTCATCAAAAATGCGATAGTAAAGTTAAGGTCCCCCTTCTTAAACTTTTCAAATAGCATGCACAAAAGCTGCTGGATTATTGTGTTTGAAAGACGGCATGGTTGTGTATCTTGAGAGAAACCGTGTGACAAGTTTACCCCCCCCTCCAAAAAAATAGATTTTGCAAATATGCCGAACGTGATGTCTGAAGAGCGTCAATGTGATAGACAGATGAAAAGTAACATTCTTTTTTATAACGCAGGCAGAAAACATCTCCAAACGATAAAAAATCTTCACAAAACTAAACAGAATGTGGGGTCTTAAACGTAACAATAACTTCATTAGGAGTTCTTTGATTGGAGAAATAAGAACACCTCAGAATTCTCTCAACAATTGTTTTATGAGCACTTCTGGTGCTGCGACAGTCCAAAAAGAAACACACGGGACATTTGAACCAGAACCAGAGAAATAATGCATTTATGAGTTATTCAGCGTGTGTTGTTAACTCTTACAAAAATAAAACCTCTACCAAGTAAAGACTTGAAATCAATATCCACTTTTAACAAAATCCCTTCCATCAAACACCCAAACAGTTTTTAAAAACAATTTGATACATTTCGCAAACTGCATTATTGGAATATTCCAAATGCCAAGGCACTTTCAGATTTTTTTTGGAACCCGCGTAAATAAAACTTGTTAGTAATCACTTACCATCTCCAAAGACATCATTCTCAGGTGCGCGTGTGCAAACAGAATTGAAGTCTGAACAGCAGTCACCGAAATACGTACACGCTGAGTCACAGTAGCATCCTCCTTGACTGCCCGAGGAGTAACAATGAGTCACGCAGCTTGCTGAAAAAAGGTAATGTTTAATTACAATGAGACAGTCTTAACCCTAAAAGGGCCGGGGGGGGGGGGTGGAATCCGCCCCGGCACTTTTTTCCCCGGCCCCGAAAATTTTTCCGGCGCTACGCGCCATGAAAACTGAATTTTCCCATATACGTCATGTACACAGACCAGAATTGCCATTCAAACAAAATAATTAATTAGCCATAATTCCAAAACCCTTTGACCTTTGGTCATGAAATTTCATGGGTATATTTATGAAGAGTTGCTCTATGCTTGTACCGAGTTTCAAAAATTTTCGTCACTCGAAGGCCGAGATCTTAGGACATGGGTTTCAGAACCGGATTTTAGCTTCGTGGAGTTTTGGGCAGCGGTGTTTATTATTTACATTCTCCACTTTGTTCGTATTTCCTCTTCCTTTCCCCTTCCTTCTCCATTCTTTGGAACACTGGTGCCTAGGGCCTACGAAAAACTTAATCCAGGCCTACCTTTATATAGAATTATAATGTACCAAGCAAAAATGAGGCAAGCATAGTTGTTGTAATATAAACTGAAATCAATTTGCAAACCAGAATATGCATCCCAAGAAATGTGGTTTTTTTTTAACCCACATCAGCTTTAATTACCTGCATCGGGGTCACCTCCACCCGAATGGACGCAATAGGTATTGTAATCTAAACAGCAGTCGCCGTAACTTGGGCACAGAGAATCACAATAACAACCTCCTTGACTGCCGTCTTTGTAACATCGGAACTGACAGGAAGCTGGAAGAGAGGTAAAATAAAAAAAACGGTGAATTCAAATTTATATATACCAGTCGTAACTATGATTTGCTACCCTGCAGATAAAATATCCCTAAAAAAAATCAGGACCAATAAACGTGCCCCCCAAAAAGATTCAAGATATGTTTCGTACATTTGTGTACACCAATCAGTAAACACACTTGGCCAACATACAATAAATCCATAGAATAAGCGATATATGACTCAAATATTTTAGACACATCACAATAATAGGGAACGACAGATACCCCAAAATAGCACACGATCCGAGGGCAGAACCCATGGGACAAGATCAAGAGGAAGACCAACGAAGAGATGGCGCGACTGTCTCAGAACGGACTGCAGTACGACAGACATCTCACTGTCAGAAGCAAGTCGGCTAGCGTCCCACAGAAGTGTTTGGCAGGACACCATGAAGCAGAAGCCATCACACAGCCAGCTTGTGTGGAGGGCTAAGTTTAAGGTCAAGGTTAATTAGTAAACACATATTTCAATTGAATTTAGCAAGAACTCACGGTCTCCAACGACATCAGTTCCCGGTGCGCGTGAGCAAACGAAATTGAAGTCTGAACAGCAGTCGCCCCAATACGTGCACGCCGAGTCACAATAACATCCTCCTTGACTGCCCGAGGTGTAACAGCGATTAACGCAGGTTGCTTTAATAAAGAGAATAAACAATACTTTGCTTTAGTTGTAATTCTTAAAAATGAATAAAGTTGGAAGGAATTTACCGCAAATATTGTTAAACTGACCTATTTAATGTTTTGTGTTCTTAGATGCTAGAAAAACCAAGAAAATAATTATGTTCTTGTAGTCTGGTCCCCTGGTTCCACTTCAGGTGACAATGAGCAATTTATAGACGTCGGGGGCTGGTAAGGTCAGGGAACCAGTCTAGCTTGCTTTTATATGTTACCAAATGCAAATAATAATATGTGGACTACTGTAATTAAATTTGGTAAATTGAAGCCAGTTATTTTTCAAACGATGGTGGACAATTGATACTAAAATTCCACTTTGCTTGAAAATGTCAGCCTACCAGGTGCCATGATTGTATGTACAGGATGCTTTAGACTGTCATTCACTAAAAGTCCAATCTAATGACAATCAGCTAAACGGAAAATGACAAATGATAAGAATGGATTTAAATCAAATTAGGATTTGCCCTTCACCGACGTTTAAACACTGTATACTCAGTGTGTTACCTCCCGAGTGAAAGATGGAAAAAAATCACTCGGGTGGGACTCGAACCCACGACCTCCTGCTTTCTAGTGCAGATGTCTGCACTAGAATGGATTTGTTAGTCATGAAAAAAAAACACCACCTTGAAAATGTGTATGCCTTCCGATTCAACACACATTGGTCGGAAAATTTACATCATCAGGATGATGGATGTAGAGTTACTTCGCATATTCAACAAAAAAAGCTCTCAGTCTTCGCTTGCAAACCAAATTTTAATATGCCAATCTACAGGTTTAGTTTGCCGTTATACTGTAGAGCTTAAAACAAAATCTAAGAAATCGTCCCCAAAGTAAGTCTTATTACCTTCACCGGAGTCATCAGTTGTAGAATGGTCGCAATAGGTATTGTAATCAGGACAGCAGTCGCCGTAAAATGGACAGGAAAAATCACAGTAGCAACCTCCTTGACTGCCGTCAGTATAGCATCTGAACTGACAAGAAGCTGGAATAAAGGTAAAAAAAAGAAAGGAATCATCAGTTTAATACACCACAAGTTAAACGTTTTATGCAATCAATTGATTTCAAAACAAAGTTGTAAGTTTTGTATTGTGAGTGACAACCTACTTGATCGAACAAATAATGTCGTCAGACTTTTAAAGTGTGTCAAACAGTATGAACAGCTCTTCGGTCATAATCGTGAAAGAGAATGCAAATATGTTTTCAGGAAAAAAGTGTTAATAACAACATATAACTTCTAAAACCTGCTTTAATACTTTTCAAGGCTTATTAATAGAAGAATAAAAGTTTGTAAAATAATTTACTCCGTTAGGAAACCACGTACCGTCACCGGGGACGTCATCTTCAGGAGCGCGTGTGCATACAGTAGTGAAGTCCGAACAGCAGTCTCCGAAATTCGTACACGCTGAATCACAATAACATCCTCCTTGACTGCCCCAGGAGTAACATCGGTCCACGCAGGTTGCTAAAAAGAGGGCGTAACAGTTTGAAGGTGAATGTCTTATAATGGGCCCTGACAAAGGACGAATCCCTATACCCTGATATGTGTATAAACCGCACTTTTCAAAGTGGTTTTTCACTATGGGCCGTAGGGCAAAAAAAAAAAAACACTCCTAGATATGAAAACGTCACTCTAAAAATAAGGACACAATGGATAAACCGAGGAAGCTTGCTCAGCAATTGACTCGCACAGATCTTCCCTCAATTGGTTAAATATGAAAAACGTGTTCTGATGAAAATCCACAAGATTATGCTAGACTCGTTTAATACACCCATTACATAACTGTATCACATACAAATGTTCAGGTTTTCGTCTTCACGCACCACGTTCGTTGCATTGAGAAAGATATTTATCGATGGGGCCATCGCAGATTTGTCTTTTAAAAAAATAAAGGTAGAGTAACAACCAATGGCAGACATTTTGAAAAATTTAAAAACAATGTGCTATTCCGACTTTATTTTTGTCTAAGGCGACGGCCCTATAGCCAAATATCTTTCTCATGACATACTCTGACTGTGTGCCAAATCCCAAAACTTGTTTCCTTCCTAGGTCAACATTTACCTTCACCAGAGTCATCTGGCGTTGAATGGACGCAATACACATTGTAGTCATGACAGCAGTCGCCATAATTGGGGCAGACGGAATCACAATAGCAACCCCCTTGGCTGCCTGAAGTGAAACATCGGAATTGGCAGGAAGCTGGAAAAGAGGTAATTGACAAAATGTCATCTTCCTAAAAAGACAATCTATGTCATAAGTATTTCATTCAAGTTTCGATAAGAACTCGCAATGTTGTGGGCTCCTGCTTAAAAGAATCAGAAAACAGGTTAAGCAGCGAAAACGACAATCGAACAAATATTCTGAATCCATTAGAATTTACAGGTTCCGCATGAAAAGTTCAACTCGTACCATCGCCAAAGACATCATTTCCAGGTGCGCGTGTGCAAACAGCAGTGAAGTCTGAACAGCAGTCACCGAAAAAAGTACAGCCGGAGTCGCAATAACATCCTCCTTGACTGCCCGAGGAGTAACATCGATTGACGCAGCTTGCTAAAACAGGGATGACAGAGGCAAACATAAAAAAGATTATAAATAAGTCTCATGGGAGTCAAACATGGAAATGAGGATTTGCTTCGAATGGACCGTAGTCACAAGGGAGGTTTGATATTGCTCAATTATCAGTGTGATGAAGAGTTTTCAACGCAATTTGTTTTACAACAGAACATTTTCGCTAATGTAGTCATGGAATAAATTATACTTTTTACTTTGGCCCTTTAACTTTAAGGGTTAAGGCCCTGTACGAATGGAACCCAAAAATAATTTTATTAATAGTAAAGCACGTACCATCACCAGGGTTATCAGTTGCAGGTGGGCGTGCGCAAACAGAGCTGAAGTCAGAACAACAGTCATTGAAAGACGGGCAGGCTGAGTCGCAGTAACATCCTCCTTGACTGCCCGATGAGTAACATCGATTGGTGCAGGAAGCTAAACCAAGTGTAATGTGGGCAAACCGTCAATATCAAAACAACCACGGAAAGTTTTGGTTACCGCAAAAGGTGTAAGAGATAATTTCCTATGGAGGCTTTAACGTTTTTGTGAACATGCAACCCCCACGAAACGTTTTTTTCCAGACATAAACTTTATTACCTTCGCCAGAGTCATCTGGAGCTGAATGGACGCAATACATATTGTAATCAGGACAGCAGTCGCCGTAATTTGGACACACGGAATCACAATAGCATCCTCCTTGACTGCCGAAAGTGAGACATCGGTACTGACAAGAAGCTGAAAGAGTAGAAACAAACAAAACAAACTTAATGCTTTAAATAACGTCAGCCACACCACGAAGTAACACCAAAGTGGACAAGAGTTCGCACTTTGTGCGCGTATTTTAGAGAACCGAGTGATTTTCGTTTTCACGAAGTGCCACTCATGTACACCGTGCATGCTGCATCGGTTTTGTTCGTTTCACGAAGTAACTCTTATCTTTTTTTTCACCACTTTGAGGGCTTTTAATTAAAATGTTCTGTGATCCTACAACAATACGGATTAACTACATTCCTGTCAAAACGTTTTAAAACGCTGCTATCCAAATATCATTTCCGTAACAGTGTTGTAACTTTGTGAAAACGAGAATCGTTCGCGCCAGTGTCCGATGTCTAAAATATCTACTTATTTTTGGTATTATATAAGACGTGCACCCATAATTCACATTTGTATAAGTCACCTTCCATCATAATTAAGTGTTATATTGTAAATTAGTACATGTATATTTCAATTTCCTTCAGTATTTCCACTATTATGCCAAGTAATTAATTAATCAATTAATTTATTGACCACTGATTTAAATTATAGCTCTAATTGTTGTTTATTTCATAAGTTATTCACAAACGGGACCAGGCTCTGTATAAGCTTAGGCTTTTTTCCTGGTTCCCCCATCTGTCACCATTTATGTTTGAATTGATCAAAGTGTTGTACATGTATTAGCATTATATTAAGTTTGGTTATTGTTGTAGTAAATAAACTGTTGCATTTGCATTATATTAATATGTGACAAATGGAAATAAAATAATACAATACAAATACTATACACAGGGGTGTGAGTGACTACTGATAAAAATAGCTGAAAACAGCTGAAAAAGGTGTAAAAAAGCTGAACTTTGGAAATCTCCTATACTTTTGTACAAAGCAAGTGATGGAAAAAAGCTGAAATTCAAAACAAAAAAAGCTGAAAATAGCTTTAAAGCTGAGATTTCACACCCCTGTATACAATACAATGTGCGGGCGCACACTTGAGTGTTACATCGTGAAGCCAACATTTGTCATTCAGTGGTTTTCACGAAGTAACACTGAAGTGGATTTGGATGTTACTTTGTGGTGTTGTTGATGGTAATGTAACAGTGCATTAAATGGTATTTAATATATCTTCAGTAGAATATGAAGGCACTTACCATCACCAAGGACATCATTTTCACGTTGGCGTGTGCAAAGAACTGTGAAGTCTGAACAGCAGTCACCAAACGATGTACACGCTGAGTCACAATAACATCCTCCTTGACTGCCCGAGGAGTAACAGCGATTCAAGCAAGTTCCTAAAACAGTGATATGACACCGCTTGATTTAGTCAATAACAATGATAACAGTGAGTTAATAACAATGATAACAGTGAGTTAATAACAATGATAACAGTGAGACTTCCAATTCTCAGACTTTCTTTGTTGAAGGGCCTGCGGGGTCGACTAATGAGGTGTTGGTTTGATGTCCTCTTCAATGTTTTGTTATCGTCCATTAAGAATGATCTAACTACAACATACAAACTCAGCCGTGTCCAGCATAGGACTATGCTTAATTACCTTCGCCGCCTGGCGTGGAGTGGACGCAGTAGATACTGTAATCTGGACAGCAGTCGCCGTAACTTGGGCAGACGGAATCACAATAGCAACCTCCTTGACTACCACTGGTCAAACATCGGAACTGACAAGAAGCTGTGAAAGAGGTCATGCAGAAAAAGAGCAGCTTTTTACCGGGAATTTAAACTTGACACAATCAGTATCAACACAAATTCGTATATCGTTTCATCACGTAGCCGTTACAATGAGTCGATCTTTTACGGCAATGACATCTTTTAGAGCAAGATGTCTACCTTGTCCCAAATTAATCTAATTCCCAATTGTATTTGAGAACAAAGACCGATTGTTTTTTTAATTTTTTTAACTTGTTAGATAAAAGAAATTTAACAACTGTTATGGCTTCTATATTAAGCATTCCTATTTTAATGTAGGCGTAAGAAAATACTTGAATTAGAAGCACTTACCATCACCAGAGACATCAGTTTCAGGTGCGCGTTTGCAAAGAGAATCGAAGTCTGAGCAGCAATCACCGAAAGAGGTACACGCCGAGTCACAATAGCATCCTCCTTGACTGCCCGAGGAGTAACATCGATCGGCACATGTTCCTTATACAAAACAAGGGAAAATCTTAAATCGCTCTCTGATTCAAACAGCTTGAATAATAATAAACAGTTTTATCATCAGCTCGGACAATGTTTTTTCACTGAAGTAAACAATGCTTCAAATTCATAGACCTCTGTTACTGCCTCATCACAATTTGTGCAAGGGATGTCAATGCGACATCCGAAAGTCAGAATTTCACAACTTGAGATGATGAGGACCGTAAAACCTATGGGAGGCAAGTCTCAATATAATTATAGAGGTCTTTACACTACTGCTATAAGGCATTTAGGTATAAGGCACATTCGAGGTTTGCGTTCTAGAATAAGTCAACCAAGAAAAGTGTTTCTATGTAGGTTTTATACCACCAGAGCCGCTAGGCGTCGAATGGACGCAATAGATACTGTAGTCAGGACAGCAGTCGCCATAATTTGGGCAGACAGAGTCACAATAGCAACCTCCTTGACTGCCACTAGTAGAACATCGGAACTGACAGGAAGCTGCAATAGAGGTCAAGTAGGAAACACTTTTTGAACTACAATTCAATGCAGATATTACAAAGTCTTCTGCAGTGATTGTACTAATTTCTTTGTGGCGTTTCACTAGAAGCAAGTTTAAAAGAAGTGAGAACAAACTCGTCAGCTGACTTCCTCTCTCCCCCGAAAAAAAAAAACACACACAAAATGTAAAGCCCACTGTTAACGCCAAAGACCTTTGAAAAACTTAAGAAACTAAGAATACTTTCTAAAAATTAGATTCTAAGCATCCCTCCCCGTTTTCTTTTGGGCAATAAACCGTATCAAACGAGGAAGTACAATGAGGAGTGCTGTGGCCTCGTGGTTAAGGGCATTGGATTCATGGCCCGATGATCAGGGGCAATAATAATGTAAAGCGCTTTGATCTTAGTTGAAAGCGCTATATAAGAACCCGTTATTATTTATATACTTACCAGCTCCTAATGCATCATTTTCGGGTTGACGTGAGCAAACGGATGTGAAGTCTGAACAACAGTCGCCCCAATACGTACACGCGGAGTCGCAATAGCATCCTCCTTGACTGCCCGAGGTGTAACAGCGATCAACACAGGTGGCTGACATAGGGATAGATTATACATAAATTAGAAATAGCCTTATTTTTTGAACTCTTCAACCGAATGAAAGAGGTACGTGCGTAGCGTCAACAATTACCTTCATAATGCTGATGAACAGCCACACATCAAGACTTTAGTTTCCTAACTAACATTGTGGGTTTGTGACAAAATGTTCTTGTTGATGAAAGGTGCGCTAGACCATTATCTTCGCTCGTACCCCCCGCCCTGCAAACAGGACGCTGGGATACTCTGATGAATTTACGCTCTGATTGGTTGGATTTTGCGTGACCTGTGACCTGCGCGTCATCACGGTCATGACTCTGCAAGGTTTGAAACGGCCGTTAAGACTGGTTCATTACTCTTTTGTTCCAGTTTAGAGATGTTTTTTTATTCGTTGAAAAGCGTTATAATGTAGGAAATTCTGTAAAACTTATCTGTGTTGTAAATTTACAATTCCCGTCACTTGCTCAGGCTCCGTTTCGAATCACGAACGGTCGGATTGCATTATGCGACGCTCAAAATTGTGTCCACATGGTCCGCAATGAAGCAGAAATCACATCCGGTATGGAACGTGTGAATTTCTATGGGAAGTTTTCGGATAGCATTTGCGCACATTGTCTAACTGCGGTCTTGAACAGCTGCAGCCAGATGCTTTATACATAGGTCATAGGCCACTTCCTTCACAAGATTCTGTGAAGCTCATCAGAGTATCCCAGCGTCCTGTTTGCAGGGCGGGGGGTACGAGCGAAGACCATTATCATGTTGCGGCCATCTTGATTTTTTTCCCCATTCAAATCAACGTCACCAAATCGAGGCTGAAATGAAAAATAGTCTGGTTCCTTTTTTTGCACAAAAACACATTATCATTCAGTACCGCCATTGGATACAGGGAACATGACTGAAATGACGGCAGCATGATAAAGGTCTATTGTGGACAAATCAAGACAATGGCATGAACCTGTGGTTAAAACGGACAAAATATATCAGGACAGCACACTTCATGGATTGATTAACCTTGAATTTACATTTTTTTCAATCCATGTTTAGCTTGAACTACAATGGCACATTACCTACACCCGAGGGGTCCCCCGGCGAATGCATACAGAGCGTATCAAAGTCCGAACAGCAGTCGCCGAGTTGAGAGCATAGTGAATCACAAAAACATCCGCCCTGGCTTCCAGAATGGTAGCACCGGAAATGACAGGTGGCTGGAATAATACATTTCAACATTGTAAAAACTGACTGCACCTCATGCACCTGTATACTATAGCACATTTTTGTCCCAAAATCATGCACACTTGAGGATCGGCAACCTGGGGCAGTTGAGGTTATATTTGTAACAACACAAAGTGAAGCTCAAGTGGGGTGTTAGGAGGTTGCCAGTTATGTTTCACACGCTGTGCTTGAAGCACCTGGGGTGACAGTCGGCTTAACCTCAGGTGTGTGTCTTACCCAACGTTGACACTTCATGCGCATCAACTTGTTCGATTCACGCGTGCATGACGCTGAGTCACTTTTTACAGCGAATATATTCAGGTTCCCACAGAAATCTTAAAATGAAATTCCACGACTAATTCTTACGCTGTTTTAATATCTTAGGAACCAATTCACAATACACTTGCAAGTTATTACATTATTAAAGGTCTATGCAGTGTGCAAGTGCCATCGTGATAACCCCCACCTCCCCCCACAGCCATCCGATCCTCTCCCATTTTCCAAGTCGAACTTACAAGACTTAGTCCCCAAACACTTATAAGGCTTCCTGTCATCGTCCCCGCATTACTATTGCAAAGCCTTGAAAACTCAACATACAACGATAGAAACTGCACTCAATGACAACCAAGCATCACGCATCATACGAGTGAAGGATTTCAAGATATTTCCCATGACTTTTGTCTAGTCAACTGTACATTAAACCTCTGTTATAATATTCCCCCGGGTTTTAATGTTGATATTCTGGCTCGCTGGCATACTCTCTAAATTCTAAAGAGTGAAATTAGGGACTAGACGTTTTAGAGTGAAATCACTCTCATTTTCGATTGAAAAAGTCTGAAAAAAAAGGATCACCTCAGACGAAGCTCGAGTGAAAACTCGATCTTCTTTATGATTAAAGGAATTTCACTCTAAAACGTCTTCTCCCCGACTGTGGGATTAAATCTTTACTCGAGATGGAGTGAATTTTCACTCTTTGGAATTTAGAGAGTATTCTTTGGAAGATTCATGGATATAACAATGTGATATTTACCTTCTCCAAAGACATCCTCAACAGATGAGTGGGTACACAGCGAAGTGAAGTCTGGACAGCAATCGCTATAATATGAACAGTCCGCGTCACAGAAACATCCTCCTTGACTGCCTTTGGTATAGCATCGACCAGAGCAACTCACTGAAACGGTGAAACCAAGAGCAAGTAAAGGTTTGGTTTTGGTTTCAGCCAACTGACTTGAATAAATCACTGGACCTAGATAACATCAAATCGGGCGAAAATTGTGAAATGTCGAGAGGAGAATAATTTTGTAACGAAGCCGTACCATAGGCTGCAGGACATTCTGCATATGAGTGCTCTTCAACGGTCACCTCAGCAAGCTGCAAGACTGCAAAAGTGACACCAGGCCTGGAGGGGTCTATGTCCACACTCAAGTATCTGGCCAACCGTGCTGGGCCACACGGGAATTGAGTCACTGCACCGTTGGCGGACTGTGACGCTGTAGCTGGTAAACCGCACGGTTGGTTCTCTACGTAGTTTGAGCTCATACCTGCGCGTACCACCGCTCCTAGGAATCGCTTCTGCCCTATACTCAGCAACATCAATTAAAAGAATACAGTACTCAAAACAAACAAAATGCTGTCAACTTATTTGCAGTTATCTTAGCAAGGACTGATTGAGTCACTACCAATACCAATCTTTTTAAATACCAAATTGGAAAATCTAACGCACTTATAACTAAAAGCCATACATACCACAACATAGTTTTCGGATTTGGACGGTGATTGTACCCAAGCAGTGGGTGGTAATCAGGTCCACTTGCCACCACGGATGTGGATCAGGAGGAATAGCTGCAATAAGACAATGAAACCTAATGTTTGGTGTTTTCTCCGATGATAGCTGTCGACGACGTGCATAAAAATCGTGCACGTGAATGAAGCTGTTGTTACAGGTCTACCATATTTAAAGGAAATTACCGCTAAACTTTAAGTAATACTTTAAAATAAAGATAACAATAAAAAAAAACACAACGGAAATATCAAGCAACATGGAAGGGGAATACTTAATATAACGGGAGGAATCAAAATTGGATGAGAAACAAACGAACATAACAATAAAAGAAGACAACTCGTAGAAGAATCTAAGATCAAAGGCCAAAAAAAAGAGAAAATATTACAGTACTGTAAAGACTCACCGGTGTGTGCAAATGTGTTGGTATTACCATCTAAAGCTTTTTCTGGCGGGAAGGCTAGGCCGTTCTGGTAAGGTGTGCTTTGTGTAGCTGGCTTTCCAATTAAAGAAAGAGCTTCAAAAGGGAAACAAACAAAATGGCATTTATAAGCAAAAATAACCTCAGTGTTGTGCTTTACAACGACCAAAACAAAAAAGAGAAAAAGGGACAACTCAAACAGAAATTTAAAAGTGTTCTCTGGGAGGATCGTATAAAAAAGAATACGTATCTTATCAAATTAACCCATGGAGCATACAGCGTTCTTCATGAGAAAACAAGAGTGAATGAAACAAATCAAAGACGAGAATGATCTTAATTGATTTACCTCCACCAGTAGCACACTCCAGGTATGGGTATTCCAGCAAAGTCACCTCAGCAAGCGCCAGGATTGCTTCAGTAACCCCAGGCAAAGATGGATCTATGTCCACGCTCACATATCTGGCCAACCGTCGTGGGTCACACAGGAAATCATTCACTGCCCCATCGACAGACTGATTGGCTGTAGCTGGCGAACCACATGGTTGGTTCTCCATGTAGTTAGAGCTGAGACCAGCACGCACTAAAGCACCTTGATTACGATTTTCTCCTAAGAGCGAGGAGTTAATTAATACAAACATATCATAATCAAGAGCTTGTACAAAAACAATGACATACACGATAACACAAGGGCAAGACTGAGAATGTAAATATTCAAAAGGAACACGAAAACAGGGGCGGATCCAGGAATTTTTAGACAGAATGTGCATTGACTTTTTATTATTATATTACTATTTCTTTATTTATTTTTAATCTTTAGACATAAAAACATATAAAAACAATAATGGTTGTACAGGGGCTGCCTAGGAAATACATAAATTTAAATCTGTCATCCGAAGATGTGTATATAACTAGACCCCTGACAACCAAAAAGTTAATCTACAACTACAATAATTGTAATGTACAACTTACTAAAATAATTGTAAGAATATTTGTATGTGTCAAGGTGGGGGGGGGGGGGGGTTCGATCTCTAAAAAAAACTCAGGATCCGAGCCTGTGCAGAGAAAGTAACTACCTCCATCGTTTGATTGATTATTGCCATTAAACTTTTTATTTTTTTTTGCAGCCGTGATGAGAGCCCTTTTTTTTACAAGCTCAAGGACACATTGCATCCTTGGCTGTGTCTCAAATACCAATGCGTCCGTATTGTGAGTAAATTCCATTCTTTCCAGTAATTCTATCTTTTACCTCCTCCCAAGTTTGTCGGCTCTGAGCACTCCACCCCAGCGTCTTCGTGATGCCCGCAGTTGTGCTGCTGTATGCCATTATGCGAGCAGTCGAAGATGGAACTCTCTTGCCCTGTGCATGCCACATTGTCCAGCTGTATCGGTCCCTCTCCCTGGCCGTACGCGGCCTCCGAGGCCGCTGTCACGGCCGCTCCGAAGCCCAGCTCACGGCAGACCACGTTGGCGTCGTTCAGGTCCCACTGGTCGTCGCACACGGTGCCCCACTGGCCGTTGGCGTAGACCTCCACTCGGCCTTCGTACATGGACCCTCCGTCCCGTAGACGAACTGCCGGATAGGTAAACGGATATTAATTGGCAATAAGTAACAACAAAAAAAGGATATTCTTTGAAAGATAATTAAATTCAGTAGCACTGGCATTTGCTTTACTTTGTTCCAAGATGGTCCCCTCTCGTAGCGTGATATCCAATCCATACTATCATTATACTGCTTTTACAGGAAAACCAACCCTTGTTTTTTTTTCCGAAATGCTGATCTTTTTTGAAGAAAAGTGCTAGAGATAGTGGTGTCACGCGATTCTAGAACAGGGAGACGTGTAGGTCGAGAAGAATATTTGTAAGCGGAAGGTGGGGCCATAAAAAGGCAGGACACTTTTCCTACGTTTTTGTAGAACTTAATTGAAAACTCAAAAAATTCTGTGGATTATGCCTATGCGGTCGATTAGCTGTTGTTCATCAGAAAGGGGAAATATTTTGTTCACAAATCTCTGGCATCAGTGCAATAGACCTATAATTTGATAAGGCAGTCGAAAGCAGATTCGTTCCAATTATTTACTGAGCCTAAATTGCTGATTTGTCATGTAGAATGCTGCTTCATGTTGAAGTTTCATTCCAAAACTATTCTTACGGCTTAATACTCAGATAAAGACAACATCGCATAATTGACTTTATAATCTAATATATATAAATCAACCTCTTCAATGCTCGTCCTACATAATAATGTTTGCTGGTATTTAGTGTGTATTAAAGCTTACTTGCTTTAATTCAAGAAATTGTAAACACAATTGATTAAAAATAAAAACATTTTTAAACCTGGTCTTTCTTCTGAACCGAATCTTCAGATAACTCTAATTATACAGTTAACTCACCGCAGCAGCCTTTTCGGAGACTGACAGTAACTCTCCCTAAACAGTGAACATTTTGCAAGTCCACTTGCCACCATGGATGCGAATCTCCAGAAAGGGCTGCGAAGTAACAAATTAGGGACTTCAAAATTAATCCAAACCTTATTTCACGATCACAAAAATGAAGCATGCAGAAAGCACGGCTATTTTTGTTGAAACCGATTTATGGTACTTTGCTAATGCAGTGTTTCAGAATTTATCTCCAGGGTGATATGAAATATGATTTAATAAGGCTCAGATTTATCACAAAAAAGGAGAATATCTGACCTCAGGATGACATTATTCTGCTGCAGCATTAAACTAGACTCACCGGTGTGTGCAAATGTGTCGGTATCACCATCTAAAGCTTTTCCTGCTGGGTAGGATGAACTGAAAGAGGTGCTTTGAGTGGCTGGCTTTCCAATGACCGAAAGAGCTTTAAAGATGAAAGAAATTAATCAACTTAAGTGGCGTTCATACAAATGCCTTGACATAATTATACAGGGTGAGTCCACAAAAGCGAAACCCTAATGTCGAGACCATTGTTTTCTACATGTAGCGCTTTCAAAATCTAGGATATGAAAGCCCAATTCATAAGATTTCATTTAGTACAAGAATAATTCAAATCACTCATGTAATTTTCAAGTTGGTAATTTTAAACCTTAACCACCGTTTTAAAGTTCAACCACAGATCACAAGAAAGGTAAGTGTTCTTTCAGCAAAATGAAAACAAATCCCGTAGGATGTGTGCGAGTTGTTTTCTATTTTGCTGAAAGAACGCTCGTCTTTTTGTGATCCGCGGACAGAACTTTAAAACAGGGGTTGTGTTTAAAATTCCGTAACTTGGAAAGTACTTGAGTGATTTCAATGATTCTTCTACTAAAAGAAGGCTTATGAATTGGGCTTTTATATCCTAGATTTTGAAAGTAATACATGCAGAACTTCACTAAAACAATAGTCATGACATATGGGTTTTGTATTTTGTGACTCCCCTTGTATAACAACACTTAAACTACATAATCATATAAGTACACACACAGACGACATTTTGTGCTTTGTATACGGGGTGCATGAGTCAAAAAGAAAGTGACTTGGATTACACACTTTTCTCTAAAAAAGTAATTAAATTTTGATACACCAACCAAGCATGTCCTAAAAGAGCATGTTTTTTCTTCCACTCATCTGAAGAAAAAAAAAATTAATGAAGTTGATCCATTCCATCAGAAGATAGCAGTACTCAAATAACCCATTTTAATAGCTATTCATAGAATGCAATAAGAAGCATTTGCGATTAGTGAGGATTACATATTACACACAAGCATTCAAATACAAATGACATTTCAATAATTGAAATCGAGAAAGAAACATGATTTTTACTGTCCGATTTTGTGTTTTGAATACGAGGAAGAAGTAATCTCTCTTTTCCCCTGAAAAATTGCTGGTGATTTTTGTTGATGTTTTCCTTTACAAGTTCTCGTTTATTCATTGAGGTGGGAAAATGTTCGCATTTCATTGTATACTCGATGGGTCTGCATCAGTTCGTAGAACGGTAAGAGATCACTGGCGGACAGCCCAGTTTTGTGGGTTTTTTTCACAGAAATAGACATAACCTTGGAATAGGGTATGCAAATTACGTATAATGTTCACAGTTAAAAGGTAAGAAGAGGTGCATTTTAATGAAATGAAGCAAGCCCAATAATTTAGATACATTTTTTTCAAATGTGGCTTTTTTTTTTCAAATACTGCCACCAATTTGTTGTAGAATTAAGTTAGTCCGCATTTTGTATGCAATCCATTACACACCCATGAACGGGTACAAGCCAGCTAGACTGGTTCCCTGACCTTACAACTCCCTGACGTCTATAAATTGCTCCGTTTCATCTGAAGTGGGGTCAGGGAACCAGACTACAAAAACAGGATTGTTTTCCTTGTTTTTCTAGCATCTACGAACACAAAACTTCAAACAGGTTAGTGAAACAATATCTGCTATAAAATACTAACCCCAAAATCCACCCATCACTGAAAAAAGAGCAAAAGCAAATACCGAATATTCCATTAACAAGATACATGAACCGGGTCAAACATTAGACAAAGAAACACTTCAGCCCCCCCCCCCCCAAAAAAAAATAGCCAAAATAATAATGAAAAAATATACCTGTACAGTATATTTCGTCTTCTGGGAGCCTGCAACGGGACAGAAAATCTGCACAGCAGTCACCATAATGTGTGCACAGTTCATCACAAAAACATCCTCCCTTACTGCCTTTGGAAAAGCATCTACCAGCACAGGTCGCTGTGGAGAAAAGAAATTATGTCAAATATATCAAATCTTTGAGGTAGCTCATACATTCTCATTGCGAGGAATTACAAGAATAATACAACTTTCTTAAAGGGTCCATGTAATGAATTTTTCCTAGGAACGCATTTTGTGTAACTGTCTACTCTTCGTAAATCTGTAGACAACGTTTTGATATCCCTTTTTTCGGTTGATACATTTTTAGAAGAGTGCACGTCTTTTCATGCTTTTCTGGTCAACTGAGGCTGCTGTTTCTGTGATGTCATTTCAGGAAAACACTGTTCAGTTTATGGGTTTTGCGCTATAATTGAGAGCCCAAAAATTTGCTCAATGAAACGTTTGAGAACATATGTCGTGCAACTGCTCGTAAATGTATGAAAACCATTTGATATCCCTATTTGGTTAATATTATTGAAAAGTGCTCTTCTTTTCAAGATTTTTTCGACAACTGAGGGTGCTGTTACTGCAATGTCATTTCAGGAAGACACTGTTCAGTTTATGGGTTTTCTGTTTAATCCAAAAATTTACTCTTTAAAAACATTTGTTAAAAAAAAGGTTGTTTTTTGGATGATTGTCATAAACTGACACAACAACGAATCACCAACGAAAAAATATACATCAGCAAAATATCCAAAATTCTGGCGTGCAGAAATATAGCTGTAACATTCAGGTTTCTGCCTGAAATGACATCACAATTTGCTCGCAAATGCGGAAATTTAATTAGGCACAAAAGTACCATAGAAAATGGCTAAATGCAAACTGAAAATAGGATTTAATGGGACACAAAGGTGGTTTTTTTTCAAAGACTGCTGTAAAACCATTACAGGCCCGTTAAGTACGGTAGGCTTTAATTTTTAATAGAAGGCGAATAAACAACTCGATTTTGCATGCGGTGTCTAATCAAACTACATTCTTTATAGTAAATTAAAAACCTTACAAGTCATCAAAAATAAACAAACAAACAAACACCCCAACAAACAAACAAACAAACACCCCAACACCCCAACAAACAAACAAGCAAGCAAATTACATTACGAATTCTACCGTACCGTAGGATGCAGGACATTCCGTATACGAGAACTCTTCCACGGTCACCTCAGCAAGCTGCAAGTATGCATTATTGACACCAGGACTGGAAAGATCTATGTCCACACTCACGTATCTGGACAACCGTGCTGGGTCACACGGGAATTCATTAACTGCTCCAGTGGCAGACTGTTCAGCAGTTGCTGGTGAACCGCATGGTTGATTCTCTGAATAGCTTGAACCCAGACCTGCGCGTACCACCGCCCCAAGGAATCGATTCTCCCCTTTAGAACGAGAAAAAAAATATATATGCAATTTAATTACTCTTCTTTATTCAATAAAAGGGCAGTGTCGTTTGGTGTGCTATGGAACAGTGTCTATATTGTATATTGACATATTGACAATTTGCAAAATCAGTTCGTGCTACATAGGGACCCAAAAATGTTAATTTTCTCTCGATTTCACCAGCAAGCTCTTAGCTTGAACTCAGCCCTGCGCGTACCACCGCCCCAAGGAATCGATTTTGGCCTGGTGGAGCAACAAGAGTAAATAAAAAGTATGCAATTTAACCAGAATTTTTCTTCTTGATTGATGAAAAAAAGCGCAGTGTCGTTTGCTGTGCATTGGAACAACATCTTTATATACTTATTAACAAATGGCAATTTTCAAAACTAGTTCATACTTTATGGGGACCGCACAGGCTGTATTTTCTCTGTCGATTTAACTTGCAACTTAGTTCCTGCTGTTGCGCGGTTACTTATTTCCAGAAGGATGTTTTGGGCGCACACATTGTACACACAAATGTCTTGGAAAAAATTATATACTTAAATAACGTCATTGTGA